ATGTTATTTCCTGCCTCGACCGTGTGCGGACTCCACAGATGCATAAAAGATGAGAGCGAGTCACTGACTAATGGCATCTTGGATCGGAAAACACCTCTGCATTTTGCTAGTTTTACGAATGCACATCGGTTGTCCAATGATGCGAAAAGCTTAAGTTAGCAAGACAAGGTCCGCTTCATGTAGTCCGCAGAGGTAGCCTATCTACGCTAACACTGCGATCCCGGGGTGGTGCACACCCGGCTGATTGTAGGCCAAGCGCAAGGCGACGGAACATTTGGTGATAGCTCCCGATCATGATTTCCACGTGGAGGAGGTGGCGATGCACGGAGGTCACCTGAAGGGTGGTCCCCCCGCGGGTATCTACGGGTTTGCGCCGATGACGGCTGCCGAGTATGCCCGAGTAATGAACCCCAACTTCGCCACCCTTTGCAACCTGAAAGCACAATCCATGTGAATCCTGTTGCAGTTCAGGAACTCTTGTGGGTGGTGATTGACAACCCGTCGTGTGAGCGTTGTGCTGCAAATGAGGGAGGGCCAACCTTCTCGGCGTTTTTGAAGCCGTGCAAGCCGGTCTCGAAGCAGAACGATGCGAATCCGCTGTAAACATATCGTCCAAACATTGCCGCAAAGGGGGCGGATCCCCCCTAGCCTTTGCTGTTGTATATAAGCTGGGCAACGGCGACTTGACGCACAACCAATGTGAATCCTTTCCAAATGTACCGCGCGTGCATTGTGTTGGAATGGGGGAGCTGCCCCAGAAACCACCCAGAGTCTTTTGTGAATCCTTGCAAGAATTTGTCACACGAGTGACCTGCTGCCTAGGACGCAAAGGAGGAATAGCAATTGAGACTGCAATTAAGTTTTTTACCACAGTAGAGGGGTCACAAAGTGTAAGTTAAAAGAGAACTAAGAATAAACACGTGTTGATTGGTATGGGCGGCTCCCCGCAAAGACTCCCCCATTTCTGCAGCCCGCAACTCCTTCCAGTAAGGGGCTCCCCCCTCTTTGTAAGGGCAGGGCTTCGTCAGATCAGCTTCCTACAAGGCCTTTTTCGGAAGGACTGTCTGAATCGAGATACACACATGAATCTAAGCTTTCACAGAAACCCCAAACAACACGATCAGCATAAACATACAAAAGCTGACTCCTGTAGCGGGGCATGTGCATTTGCGACGTAAGTATGCTGTGTTGTCTCAGGCCTTGACATTGACCATGCCCAGGAGGACGATCAGTTTGCTGATCTTGACATAGCCTCTGCAGTCGACCGCTTGCTTTCGATGTCATTCGAAGCAGCCATGAAGACGAGCGTGGAACTGAGAGACTACGTCCCCTGACTGCACCTCGCAGTAGCCTTTGAACAGCGTTGTCGGAATGCTATGCTTCTTGTTTTGGTAGGTGAGGCAGAGGTTGCATCAGAGTGGTCCCCACGAAAGGGCGAGCCGTGACAGTGCCTCTCGAGGTGAGAAATCCAAAACGAAGTAAAGACGAGATCGCCGACTTAGAGGCGGAATTCGCGCAAAGTTGGAGCTTGGAGGCTCCCACGGAATTGCGTGACATTTTGGAGGCTCAGCTGTAATCTTATATCGTGAATCTTTCTGTCGGGAAGCAGTGGCAGCTAAGGAGGAGCTCCTCTTCCCCGATGTGGTTGCTGCCCGTCAGGCTCGGGAATCTCGCGAACCACTCGCGCGCCTCTAAAGCGAGAAAATGCACCGTGGAGAGGAGGTGAGGTGCGAAAATGGACTCGTCAGTATCGTTGTGACGTTGGCTCAATTTTGCGTTAATGTGTCCGGGACTCCATGCTACCACGTAGTGCACCGGTACTCAGACCAGTCGTGTAGTGTCTGCTGGATCATGTGGCTTTCCGATAAGATAAGATGGTAGATGCTTCCGAGACCGCCCCTTATGCGTCGCAGCAAACTACACGTAGCATGTTGCCACGTCGCCCTGCAAGAGCCATGCCGCTCTCGGTCTCGGAGCTTGCAGAGTATGGGCACGAGGCAGCTTCGAACTAAACTCCTCCGTGTGCTCGCTGACGGAGCTGTCCACGAAGCGACGTGCTTGCAAAAGCCAGAAGGAGGCTGTATGACAGAAGTAGGCAGCACGCGCCACAAGGTTTTGGTCATCTGCAGCCTAGGCCAGATGAAGACGAAGCCGTAGTTTTGCAATCTGGTCTGCGAGTTCTGCACTGTCCAAAATCTTTGGCCTGCGAACGTGCATGGAAAATGGACATGCCATGGCTTTCTGAAGGCGTGAGCAGCAAGTCAACACGGCACGTTTTAAACTTTTGCTGCCTGCACCAGCAAGTCTGAGGCTACTCTGGGACAGGTGGGCGAACCTTGTTATTTCAGAAGCATGGTGCCAAGATGGGCTTGATGTGGTCGACACGTGTTCAGCTGAATGTCATCGACGCCACAGGGTAGTGATGCAAGTTGCTGCAAAAATGTCGGCCCAAAGCTGATGGGCCAATGTGTAGCGGGGAGCGATGGGTCGTAAACGCGATCGGTCGAAAACGCCTGAGGCTGGACTTGCCGTGGCATCCCATAGCCGGTTCGCATGCACCGATGCCGTGCAGGTGCCCTGGGAGCTGCTGCCGAGCGGAGATGGAGTTCCGGTTGCGCCGATTGCAGGAGCTGAGCCAGTTCAGCCAAAGGCAAGCTACTCCTCGGCATGAAGCTGGTCTTGATGATAAGCATCAGGGTTGGTCTTTAGTTCTGGCAAGGCTAGCCACGGCTTGCACAAGTTGATTGATCAAGCTATGCCGGCGTTTGACTGTAACATCCTTCTCATCCGTTGCCAATGTCAACTTTCCAAACCAAATCTTGCGGGACTAGCCAGGTAGCCAGACAAACGGGAGCGCTCTAGTTCCCGAATGACTCTACTATATCGGGGCCAAGGGTAGGGTTTAGAGGGCGAGGTTCTTCGTGTTTCCTGGTTTTCGTTGTGGGGTCTCCGCTTAAGGCTTGAGGGAGGTTCAGCGCTTGGGTTTCTTCATGGTATAATTCCCCGGTTCGGGGTTTAGGGTGTCACAGGGTTAAGGACTTAGGGTTCTCTGGGGCTTGTGGTTTTCCACGGTTTCGCGTTTAAGCTTCGGCGTTTCGAGGTGCCGGGTTCAGGATTTTCCAGGGTTTGAGGGCTCAGGAGTCAGGGTTCACGAGGTTTAGGGTCGAGGGTTTTATTTTAGGGTTTGGTAAGGGTTCACAAGGTTTAGGGTTTAGGATCTTTGAAGCTCCGTTGGCTTGGGTTCTTCAGGGTGCACAGTCTTCCAGCTTAGGATTTGGGTTTTGAAGCCGTAGGGTCTCTGTGTTTGGCCCACGGTGTGCTCAGGAGTCATTGTTCACGAGGTTTAGGGCCGAGTTTTTTTTTAAGGGTTTAAATAAGGGTTCACAGGGTTCAGGTTTAGGGTTTAGGATCTTTGAAGCTCCGTTTGGCTTGGGTTCTTTAGGGTGCACGGTCTTCCCGCTTAGGATTTGGGTTTTGAAGCCGTAGGGTCTCTGTGTTTGGGTGACGGTGTGCTCAGGAGTCAGGGTTCACGAGGTTTAGGGTCGAGCGCTTTTTTCAGGGTTTAGGTAAGGGTTCACGATGTATTTTTTTACGGTTTAAGATCTTTGAAGCTCCGTTTGGCTTGGGTTCATTAGGGTGCACGGTCTTCCCGCTTAGGGTTTGGGTTTTGAAGCCGTAGGGTCTCTGTGTTTGGGTGACGGTGTGCTCAGGAGTCAGGGTTCACGAGGTTTAGGGCCGAGGGTTGTTTTAGGGTTTAGGGCTTTAAGTATTTAATGGTTCAGGGTTAACAAGGTTTAGGACTGTAGGGTTTAGGACTTTTGAAGCTCGGTTTGGCTTGTGGGCCAGCATATCTGACTCAGCGAGGCGTGCGCAAGTCAGATCCACACGCAGCAGGAACGTGTCCTGCGGTGCCTGAAGTGTGACGATTCGGTTCCCGAGTTGTCTGTTTGCCTGCTCCGAATTCCGCACGCGGCCGGCGAATCGGGTTCAGAATTCTGGTGATTCCCGTAGTTTGTCCTGCTCTGGCTGGAGTGTCGGCGGGGTTCTTCACCGGCAAGATGAGGTGCTTTGTGAAAGTCGTGAGAGCAGGAAAGGAAAGCTAGGTTGGGACATGACTCAAATATGTCGTCATAGATGGAAGTCTGTCGTGGCTGGTGAAAAGCTGAGGCCGGTCGCGGTCTGCGGGTTGCTTGTCTTGACCATTTCTGGTGCCACGACTGTTTTGATTTTAGATTGACCGGAGGGGTACACGGCCGTTTATGTGTTTTTCAGCGTGGGCTGCGGGTGCGGTTTTGCACTTCGAATTATGGAAGACAAGCAGCCCTGCATAGCCCTGCCAAGATCGACCGAGTGCTGAAGTCAGAAATGGCGGTGGAGCCAAACCTGTCGATCCTGCTCTTGTAGCTGCTGCAGCCGCCAATGAAGAACGTCGCTTGGAGCTGGCAATGGTGATGGGGCGTGTTGTCGCCCAGTGGATTGATGCTGTTTGAGCAGAGGTTCAGGTTGTAACAGTGCTGGGAGGACCCAACTTTCTAGTTGCATTGGGTGCATTCAGCGGTAATCACTTGGCGGTATGCTACGCTGCCGCTCTTAGCGGCCCAATGATCGCGCCAAACCGCGGCCCGAGCAAGGAGATGCGTGGCGGCGCCTCGTGATCGTGCTGGCCCAATCGCGCGGAGACCGCAAAGTGGAAGCTCTGTTGAAAGAGAGGCATCCAGAGCTGCTTCAAGTGGCGGACGCTTGGCCTGAACGCTGTGGATGCCCGGCAGTCGGCAGAATTTTCGGTGACGGCCTTTCATTTTCAGTGTGTGGTGGAGAAGGCTTGCACGTACCATAGGGCTTGCTGGGTTCCGGTGGGTTCTCATAGATTGACGCTCGTTTCGTAATTGTTAAATCTCTGGTATTGAATCGTGTGGTCATCACCGAAGCCATTTACTGGTACCTCTCTGTTCCTTTGGTTTGTCGTGCTAGTGGCGTGCTAGTGACTGCGAGCGACTGCGAGAGACTGCTGTTGTTTGCTCCAGTGCTTTGCCAAGGAGAAGTGTGGTGCCTCTGGCAAGGCGATTCGGTGGTGTCGCTTTCCATTTACCTGTGCTTGGTGGTGTCTCTGAAGCTTTACAACAAGTGACCGTTCAGGCAGTGAAAAGCTCCCAAACCCAGATAGTTTGAGGTGTCTGCAGCCTTAGGGTCCATGGTCGGTTGATTGTTGAGGGCATCGTGTCAAAAAAAGAAAGGATTTCGCTTGCCGCCATTTGGCTCAGAGCAGTCGTCAGGCTTGCTGGAGAGCCCGGAGTACGAACCTCATTAGATGAGCCTTGACGTGACCGAGATTCGACCAAAGCTGTACATCGGCTCCCGCGATGCAGCATCCCAGACCAAACAGCTGGCCATCTTGGGAGTGAAGCACGTGCTCTCCGTTGGCACCGAGTTCCCTTCAAGACTGGGTGTACCTGCTCTGTTGGAGGAGAAGCACCTTTCCAAGCGCAAGGTTGATGGACGCTCCAGTGGCGGACGGATGTATTTGCAGGATGGTGGCAAGAAAGATCCGTTTGTGAGGCTGTTTGTTCCAATCGACGACATGGGCTCGGTGGACATAGCACAACATTTTGATGATGTCCGACTCTTTATTTCCGAAGGGCTGGCGCAAGGAAAGGTGTTGGTCCATTGTGTAGAAGGACGTTCCAGAAGTGTTGCACTGGCTGTTTCCTTCTTGATGCAGAAAGAGAAGATCTCCGTCGGAAAGGCCTGGCCGGGAGATGGGTGCAAGTAGAGCAGTGGGCGTTTACAGATAGTTCTGCAACTGTCTGCGTTTCGCTGCTTGAGGCTCTGCTGTCTGTCAAGGAGAAGCAGCTTGCGTGAGCGTTTGTCTTGCACATATTTCCCCACAAGAGATGCAGTCAAGCCTGCAGGATAAGCGCCCGACCATCAGTCCGAAGCCTGGTTTCATTGGACAGCTATTAGCGCTAGAAGAGCAGCTTGGCATTGAGCCAGCCTCCCCTCGCACCGCAGAGGCCAGCTCGCTTTTCGTCATGCCTCCGTTTACTTGCAATTCGCAATGCTGCAGGCCGCGGGTGCTCTGAAGAAGGACCCGGACAGCTCCAATCCCCGAGCTGCTCTGCTCAATTTGAAGCTTGGAGCGGCAGCCCCGTGCTTTCTTGTCAGCTGCAAGGTGTTCATGGAAATATCCTTGGATGGGCAGTCCATTGGTCGTCTTGAGATCGAGCTATACGCCGACATAGTTCCTCAAACTGTGGAGAATTTCAGGTGTCTCTGCACTGGCGAGCGGGGACGTGGGCCAGTGAGTGGAAAGCGTCTCACCTACTTGGGGTCTGTTTTTCACTGCATCATTCCGGGCTTCGTCTGCATTGGAGGTGATATCACAAGGGGGGACGGAACTGGAGGGGAGTCGATCTATGGGCACGCCTTCCAAGATGAGAACTTCGAAGTCAAACATGACTCTGAGGGAATAGTGTCGATGGCAAATTCTGGTCCAGATTCCAATGGTTCGCAGTTTCTAATCTGCTGCACAGATTGTCCGCAACTTGATGGAAAGAATGTGGCCTTCGGCAAAGTCGTCTCCGGAATGGAAGCAGTGAGGATGATGGAGGCTTTCGGCACTTCTAACAAACCCCTGTCTGAAACCCCGGACCATGATGCAGATGTTCTAGCTCAAAAGCACTTTCGTAAACCTTTGTGTATGCAGCAGCCGTAGTTTTGTGGGCGGTGTGGTTTATGAAGCGGTGCGAAGTCCAGTTTGTGGCCTGAGTGGAGAGGACTGTGGGAGTGCTGATGGCACGGCATCTAAGCGGGTGACCATCCTGGACTCTGGAGAGGCCAGGCCAGACTTCCGGGACTTGCGGAGACCCAGCAGCCTCGAGCTCCAAGTGCTAGGTTCCACAGCCGGGCCGCGCAGTCAAACGCGCTCGGCGCGATGCAGATGCGGTTGCTACTGTCCTTCAAATCCTCCGGAAACATGAAGGCTGCAAAAAGGCCAGCCGCAGTCGTGTGCGCTTTGGTGCCTTGTTGTGTCTGAGAGAGCTGGAGAGAGCGAGAGAGAAAGGGCTGCGTGTTGGGAGTGTTTCTGAGAGTCGAAACCGCAACATTGCGGCGAGACCATCTGCAGAAGCAGGGCTACTGTTACAAGACACGCAAAAACAAGGCACGCGCGCCTTTCGCAGCCGAGGAAGGTGTAGCGATTGCGTTTGGAAGGGCATCGAATACAGATGAAGGCGGAATTGGTGAAAACATTGGCAGGCGCAGTGAATTCGAGATGTCGCATGAAACGTGGCCACGTTGGCATGCATAGAAAAGTGTGGCAGGCGTGGGTTAACAGGCATATTTGACAGATTT